TAGACTGGAAGGTCTTGCAGTCATGGTGTTGCAAGCTACGTACCCCGGCAGTTGGTCACGAGTTCGTGGCGAGGCTAATGCATGCTAATGCTGACGAGACATGGGAGATTGCAGTTCAATTCCATCTATGCAGCTGTCAAACCCCCCTGTCTGCAATTGACGACTGCCACATGTTTCTTTCCAGCTTCGCATGCCAGCAGACCTAGCCGAAGATGTCGAAATATACCCAGACCAAAGAGGCACGTGGTAACACGCGAAGTGTTCAGGAAGAGCCAAACCCGACACTACAAATTCCATTACCGGGCATGCCCTCCCACAGTGTAAGAAGCTCTCAGCCATGCTAAGCAAGACCATAAAAAGCCTGAAGGCCCATCCGAGGTTGAGGCTTTGGAGGCCCAAAGTCGGAAGCATCAACTGGCCCATCTCCCAGCCCATCCCAGCCGAAGGACCCACGGGTAATCCAGGCGAGAGAAGACATCAACAGGCCATCTTCTCCGCCTGGCAGTTTGGGGGCGAGTACTCGCAGCAAAGCTAGCAGTTGCACTGAGAGTACTGGTAGTAACATTGGACTTTCGGTGAGACCCTACCTACCTACCTACTTACCTACCTACCTACCTACCTGCCTACCTTCCTACCTTCCTACCTACCTACATACCTACCTACCTACTTACGTAGCGACAAAGCGACCGACCGATCGCCCTACCTCACTCCCTCCGTACATAAGTACTTGCGGACGTACGCATTCAGTGCATCCATCCATAAATACATGCATGCATACATACATGCATCCATAATCCATGCATACGTACATGCATACGTGCATAAATGCATACTTACGTACAGACAGACAGGAAGGCAGGCAGGTTGCAACAGGCAGACCAGACATCCCTGTGTATTTGTCTATGCGTATACACACCTTATGTATGCCCTTATGTACCATTGTACAAACGAATATTTGCATGCATGCAAGTATGGATGTCTGTCTGTTTGTTTCTGTGTATGTGTGTATGCATTCACGCATGCATGTGCCCATACGCACCATGGGATTCAGCGTGTAAAAGTCGACAGGCTGCGTCCTCATGGTTTAGACTCGAACTCTGGCAGGTTACTCGGCCTACCCAGGCACACGGTCATCCAGCCGCCCGCTGCCGAGCCAGCCGGGCATCCAAGCGAGACAAAGCCAATGTAATTTGGTGGTGTGTGCCGGGCCCGTAGTATGTGGTTTCTGTCTTCTCGCCGTGACTTCGCAGCAAATCTGAGTCCCGTTTTTCCGTCACCCAACCCTTCAATAAACTAGAAACCATGGGCATTCTGATTTTGTGAAACCTTCTTGAGGCGGCACAGCCGGGGGTTCCACTCATCAAATCTTATGATCAGCCTCCGCTGTTGCTGCTGCTGCTGCGCCTGCTGCTGCTAGCGTTGCTGTTGCTGTTACTGTAAGGAACCCTAAAGAAGGATATTGGTAATGAATGGCCCCGCAGGTTTTTATCGAGACTCCAGACGGGACCGGCCGCCACCAGGGCTTGTCGGGGGCTCGGGCGGCATACATTCTGAGCTGGGCATTGTGAGGTATTGAGCCATAACCTATTTATATTTAGGATAAAAATAATAAAGATATTGAAATTAGTGTCATGTCGGCCGGGTTAGGGAGTCTTCGTCAAAAGGGGATCCATGATAGAATCCCCTGAAAGCCCTCCAGCCGCTTTCGAAGGGTTTACGGCATTTCAAGGTGGACAAGCTGACCACGGAGGTCTCGAGTAGCACAATAGCCGTGCATGAGCTCTCATGCTAGAGACTTTGAGCGCGGCAGCTTGAAATCACGAAGGCCCTGAGCCCTAGAAGCATTCAAAGCCTTATCCTCGGCCCACTTCTTGGCCCACACCCCCTAACCCCCCCCAAATACCCACCATAAAGGGTACTAGGGCCCCTAGGGCCCTTGTGTAGTAGGTACCTGGAGGGTTAGGGACCCACGGACAGCAGATCCGAGGCTTGGAGCCCCAATGAAGCAGGATGCAGATGGGGATTATGCCCATGAGTTCTGGGAGGAAAACAAGGCCCGGCAGGATTTTCAAGCAGGGTTCCATGGTTTGGGAAGCAGTAGGAGCTTTTGAGGACCACTCACACCCCGCAAGCTGGTCAAAACTCTTTCAAGCCGAAAGCGTAGGCAGCACCAGCACAGGCTACACCTGCCCGGGCTATCTCGATAATGCTGCTGCCCCTACGCAGACACTCGCTGCGCGCGATAGTGGAGTTGCTTCTAATGGCGACTGGCTAGAGGAGGATTTTGCAGCAAGAGAAGGTAATTCCATCTTGAGTTTTCATTATTGCTCATTTCAGCGTGCCCCGTTTCGAGTTAGGCTGCGATCTGCGAGGAGGCGAAGGAGAAGGAAGGAACAGTTGCAACACGAGCAGCAGGTGTAATATTCATTCGTGCTGGTGCTGGTGCTGGTGCTGTCCTGGTGCTGGTGCAGGTGGTGGCTGCAGGAATCAAACTTCGTGCAACAGGAATGCAAAGGGGGCAGTGCTATCCGCTTGTAAGTGCGGCAGTAAGAAAAGAAGAACAATGGTGGCAGGAGCGGGAGCAGAAGCAGAAAGGCGGCATCAACACCAAAGAACACACTAGCAGAACACAGGAGCCAAGCCTGAAGAGCACACGTGCAACAGTGCAACACCTTTCATTGCGACAGCGGCAACGACAATCACGTCAGTCACCATCGGAACCACGAGCACGGCAACCCCTGGAAGAGCAAGGACGATGATCACAATGTGACCTTCCTGAACATAACAGCTGCAAAAAGCCTCTGTCCGGCGAAGCTTGAAGTCTGTCACAACCAGGGCCGATGGTGTCTCTAAGGGTCCTTCTTTGAGATTGGGTGCAAGAGGGTTGTAAACTCCACGACGGACGAAGGGCAATCGAAGCCGCCAGCAGGCTTGCTCAACCTTGTAGCCGAAATCGCGAGCTCTTCCACATTCCAAAATCAGGTAACTCGGTAAGCAGACAGGAATGCCTCGAGCGAATCCTGAAGCCATGAATCCTGCAGGAAGGGCATTTGGTGCTCGTCGCTCCGAACAGCGCAGCTGGGCTTTGCAAGACTACAGCATGCTTTCTTGGAAGCAGGTGCACAGCCCTTACGTAGCGCAAGAAAACCCATATTAGGTAACTAGCGATAGTCTCTAAAGGTACTGTTAGTAAAAACAGCTGCAGAAAGCTCGGGAGCATCTCAACTTCCCTTCAACTCGATAGACCCCAATCCCTAAACCCCCGAGACATGCAAAAGCCCAGGCAGCTGGAGGCTAAGCTTTTTTCTCCTGGCCCGGCCCCGAGCTTGGCTATTGCCGCTTGAGGGGTTTTAAGGGGTTTTAAGGTTTTTCAGGGTTTGGGTTTGGGGTTTTGGGTTCTGGGTGCATGGTTGGTCGGGCGTTTAAGCTGTAGCCTCGATACTTACCGACACTTAGGTTGCAACCACAGCACTTCTTCGAAGGTAGTCTGTTCAAAACCTACGTACAGCTTCCCGCAAGTCCAGACAGTCGCCTTTTTAACATTGCTTGGGCTTGAACATGAGGGATGGTCATCAGCCCCGATGACGAGGATTTCTCCAAACTTTGTCATGTAAACTCTAGTACAAACTCGATGTTTCTTCGAATCCAGCAAAGACCAAGCATCCTTCCCAGGGATTCTCTCCGAAGATGAGAAGTCGAGCAACGGCACGGCTGCAAGACGCAGTCGAGTTGTAGATGCAACAAACAAAGTCTCAAAGCGCGCACAAGAAAGAAAAAAGAGCGGCAGGGGTGCTACCACGACATCCTTAAGATGAAGGGATCTTCAGACGGAATGTCTGTCGGATGAATGGTGTTGGCTCGATGACAGCGTACAACTACACATGCCCAGCTGATTTGTGGCATGGAAATTAACTTGTTTCGTCGTTATGCTGATGTCGTTCGCTTGAGCTCCACCCCGGCCTGTGCCTTGCAAGCTCACTTCAGGCTCCATGCATGCGCATACAAGCATGATCAAACCTTCTCAGAAGATCTATCGAATGTGATCGGGTATGTAATCTTTTCGTCGAGTTGCACCTTGGTTGGCGCATTGGGCGTCCTAGCGATAAAGCGCATGAATGATATCAGATGCGAGCATATGAGCCAACTGCATATACCTCACCTAACATCCCTGCAACAGCAAGATGTGGCAGAAAACGCGCCTGTAAATCTGGCGCGAAGGAACATCTGCGGTTTACTGCGCGGTTCGTAATCGCCGCCCACAATGTTGCAGCTCCGCAAGAACAAGATAGTCACTCAAGTGTCGAAAGGCCCCCGACTCAGTGCAGAGGCCATTGTCGACAGAGTAATGAGAAGACAAAGTCCACACTATTTGAGCTTCATACGCCATAGGTACGGTATGGTACGGTCCAACATCCAGCTAGAAAGTCAAATTCCCAATCAGCTGCGACCAACTGGCAATCCTGCTCCTAGGCCAGGTCGAGATCCGGCAGATGGAGGCAAGCAGACCAAATTTCGGGTGTCGATATCAGGTCCTGGGCTTGCGAAACTGGGTTGTGGGTGCTCGTCAGTCATCCTCATGTGCCTGACAGGTCGACTGGTACTGTGGCAACTACCAGACGATCTCTGGCTCATGCCTGAGAGAAACTTCAGGAACTGAGACGACGTGGTTTGTGGCAGCTAGGAGTGTTACGAGTTGTCCTAAAGGTTTCCAGGTCCTGAATGTACTATACTATACTAGACCATACTAGACTATAGCATACTGAAATAGAATTGATACAAACATGTCTCAACCACCTGAGCTTATGAAGTGGTTCAGGTCCCTGCACAGCCGCGAACCCTAGTTTTCTTCATATGCGTCACAAACGTAAGACAATGGCATGAAAGTAGCACCCACCACGATGAAACTGGCAAAACTGTCGTGAAAGCACATACAAGAACAATGACATGCATTACGGCAGCCGATAGTACCCCGAAAGCAGAAATGACAAGGTCAGGCTGCCATGCTGGCTGGCTTCGCTTTCAACTTCCTCACCGCACCCATGCCCAAGGCAGCTGTGCTTGGAGGGAGCTAAGGGTTTGAGATTCACGTCCCTTCCTAGTGACTCTTGTTTCGGTGGTGCGCGGGCGGGTTTTCAGTCATCCCAAACTCCGGAAGTGTTATGGACACAAGCAGCCTCAAAGACTTAGAAAGACTAAAAGGCTTCAGGGTTCTGCTTTACCTGCTAGCTGTCTTCCTCTCTCTCTCTCTCTCTTTCTCTCCATCTCTCTGTCTTTTGTCAAGACCTAGATAGAGACGGTGACATGTGGTGCGCATGATCCTGAGCCACGGACCCTGATGCAATAAAGATAACTGCAATGAGGCGCATTGGTACTAGTGCCACCGTGAGTTGAAATGTTCTTTCGAGAAGCCGAAACCCTGAACCCCAAACCCGGGAAATTCTTGCCAGAGCCCCTTCTGTGGCAGCCCGACCCAACTGGTGAAGCCTTGTATCGGTTAGGGGCTTTTGTGTGCTTAGTGCGGGTGCTTATGGCTTTTACGGGTGAGGTCTGAGAGGTTGAGGATTCAGGGCATATAAACCCCAAACCCTAAACCCTATAGGGCTTCGGGGTGGTTTAAGGGTTACGGACTCGGGTTCTGGATCTAGACAGTTGAATCGACTGCTCTGCCAGTCCTACTCTTGGCTGTTCACCGAAGATGCTGCTTCAGGTGTTCCTGTCTTCAGGGTTTAGGCTTCAGGGCTTTACAGGATTTCGTTACTTCAGGAATTAGGCTTCAGGGTGCAGGGTTTAGAGAAGTGGTGTGTTTCCGAGTATGCTCTAAGGAATTCACCTAGCCATGCAGCTGGAAGCACCAGCCTGGAACAAGTGCCCTTCTCTCCTGATTGATTAGCTCTATGCCCTGTGACGACAATGCACCCTCGCGCGAAGCAACATCTTCAACTTGACCCCCAAACCCTAAACCCTAAACCCCCCGTGTGCCAAAGCGATGGCAGGACAAAGAGCCTTGCATCTGGTTGGAGTTTTTCTACTTCTTCTGCGTGAGCACGGCCTTGGGCCCGCAGCTTGGAGAGCTGAGTTCCGAAGTTTCGGTTAGATGATATAATATAGTATAGCAGAATATACGATAAATACAAGAGCATATAAGGTGATATAAGATAACAAGTAATAAGAGCATAGAAGGTGATATAAGATACTCTAGTATAGTGTGGCTATCAGCCTGTAGGTCGTCATATTTTGGACAGCACCCAAGTATTAAGTCGTCATGGAAAGGATTTGGATTTTGCCCTTTGTTTAAAGATGTAGGTTGGATGTGACCATCATCCTAGCCGCGGAAGAAGCTGTCATGACACAACTCTGAGATGAATATCATCATGCCACATTCTTGAAGCATCAGCTTGTCAAAAAGGTACTCGTGAATCCAAACCCTTCGACAACAAGATCCTTCAACCCCAAAAACCTCGGCTGCAGGCCCGCAATCCTTGAACCCTAATTCCAAGCCTTTTCCCCACCCTGATCCCTTAGGCTCCGAGATGCCTCCAGTGCTCAGGTGCAGAGTTCGGGGTCATCGTTATTTCCAGCTACCTCTCAGTTTGGGCACCTTCGTTGGCCCTGCTGCAGCCTCAAGGAATCAGTACTATGACTTCATGTCAGAATGGAATAACCATGGCTGTTATACCAGCCCTTTCGCCTGCATTACGGATACTAGCCTAGCCGCAACGCACAGACAGTTTTCATTGTCGTGATTGTTGCTCCTCCTCCACCTCCTCCTCCTGCTGAACAGCGCAAACGACAATAACTTTCTACTTCTGTCGCTATCATTAACTACCACCAGTGCCACCACAACCACGGACGACTGCTACTATCGCTTTACCACTATCGCAACCACTGCCGCTGACAGCACGAGGACGACTCCTCCTCCTTCTCTTCCATCTCCTCCTCCCACTGCTGCTACTACAGCTCCTGCTGCTACTGCTACAAGGACCACCTGACTTGGTACCTACCCACCTGCCGTTGATGCTTGCGATACGTGGCTTGGCTCGTCTAAGCTCAGGCGCGGGAAGCGCGGTGCCGTGGATCTGCACAAGGACGGGTAACTCCAAATCTGATGCCCTGAATCGTGATGGTCGCCTCCAACCTCCAGTCATCTATGAAGGTAGCGGTTCGAGAAGATTTAAGAATTTGTGAATACCGTCATGAATACAGTGGGCGTGCGCTGGCTCCCCGAACAAGTAGAGGAACAAGTAGCAGCCCATCCGAGACTGGCTTCAAGCAGGTACGATGCAGCTCATGTCGCAAGTGTAATGGTAGATGTTCCTTACACGCCAGCATGTAGGATACCGTCAACTGCTACTTTCGCTTACAGAACCCTAGTTCCCCATGCTCATGGCATCCTATCTTGCCGAGCCAAAGAGCTGAATGCTAGCTATGCGAGCTGAAGTTGTTGGGAGTCTGCTGTGCCAGGCATGTGACACGCTGCGAGATTACCAAGCGCTGGTCTTCTCGTGTTTCATGTGCGGGTGGATAGCGCCTTGGTTGGCAGAGATCAAGGATCTGAAATGTCCTTCTTCGCTACTTCACCATGGAGTCTAGGCTTTTTGCGTGAACCCAACTTCGGGATGTGATGCCTCATCGAGTAATGCATGACACCTGGCACGCTTCTGACCGACAGGCCGCTACTGGTATTCAACTATTCAAACAAGCTACCCAAGGCATCGGTCCCGTCCCGAAAACCACAAGCTGCAGACCACTCCCTTGGGCTTCTTCGGTCTTTAACCGATGCCATGCCATTGCATCCTTGGCACGCGCAAAGGTGCATTTCATCGCTAGCATCCTCCAGGTTGCGGGCGGAAGGGGGGGGGGGGGGGGNNGGGGGGTTGGGTCATGTTGGAGTTCAGGCAGAGGCAATTCCTTTTCTGTTGATCTGGTGAACCGGCAGGTTAGTGTGGCAGTGCGTAGTTTGAAGTTCCCGAATACCAACGATTTCTGTCTTTCCGCAAGATTTTGGGACGACAGCAGATTCGAGTCTGAACCAGCATGAGCTTGTCGCTGCAACAGACAACATGCACAAGATCCCTTTTTTAACCCACCACGTTGGCACCGCACTTGGTTTGACGTTACATGTTTATTACTATTGCTGTCATTGTTATTATTAGAATTATGATTATTGTTATTGCTATTCTGCTATTATTGTTATTATCATTGGTTCCTCGCTTTCAGGTCTGGATATTCTACAAGAAGTCCATTGCCACCTTCGTGTCTATCCCGTTTTTGCTCTTCACGCTGGCCATCATCTGGCACCGCAGCGCATGACGGCAATCTGCACAGTGCTTGTCTGGATGCCTATGTACCAGACGTATGTGGTGTAGTTGCACACATACACATGCACGTGCACATGTACACACCCACATGCACATGTACGTATACCACCGCACCTATAATATGTTTCCATGGCGCATTCCTTCATAAGTCTTACATGTGCGAGAGCCGAATGGTGCGACAGACAGATAGAGCACACACATAGGCAAGTATCCGCATATGTATTTATGGAGGCACACCATGTCACGCAATCATATACACAGTATGCATGTACGAAGGCTTTAATGGCCACATGCATGTGTACGTGCAGGCATGTATGTACGCATGATGTAGATGGGAAGCCGAGACGAGAGGTAGGATAGCTAGGTAGGTAGGAAGGAAGGAAGGTAGGCAGGCATGGAGGCAGGTCGGTCGGTCGCCAGCTAGGTGGATAGGTAGTTTGCGGGGTGGATCACCCGGTGCCTGGGTGTATATGTATGTATGTGTGTGTGTGTACACACATACATATATATATATATATGTACATACATATGTACATACATACATACTACATACATACATACATACATACATACATACATACATGCATACATACATGTATAAACGGAAGGGTACACATGTATAACATGAACATGTAGGCATACACATGTCTATATATATATATACGGATACATACATACATACATACATACATACATACATACATACATACACACATACACACATACACACACAAACACGTACATGCATACATACACGTAGATGTGTGTGTGTGTGTGCGCATGTTGATGCACATGGAGGGAGAGAGGTTGTAGAAAGCTAGTATATGTGTTTGGTATGAGGAGGCCCTATAGTACAGCTTAGGTGGGTTGGCCTTACCCTCAACAACCCAGATCTCGTCATGCGCAGGCCTCGAAGCGGAAAGCTCGTATTGTCACTCCTCGCATGGGGCCACGTGTCCAAACAGGTACCATATAATACAACATAATATCATAGAATATCATAGAATACCATATACTACCATATAATATCATATAATATAACATAATAATATCATATGATACCAGATAATATCATATAACAGGTACCTCGTCGATCTTCGGCAGAAGCTCAGCTTGGCAGAAACGGAGGTGGGAGCCGATGGGAATTACTGGGCTCAGTAGGTATGCTGGCCGCAGAGTGTCGTCATCACACGTCGGAGATCCACGGAGGGAGGACACAGACTTCCGTGAAGTGTCCGGCTGCGGAGGCCCATGCTGTCTTAAGTTGCTAAGTTTCTTTGCCACCCACGCTTGGAGTTCGTTGGACGGAACAATGTCAGCCTGCAAGACTTCAAAGCGTCATAGTAAGAAGCAGAAAGCTGCGGGGGAACGCTCTTCACCCCACATCCCAGCTCCCAGCTGGGCATCGTAACCCCTGAACCCCAAACCTTACATTCCAGTAGCATGCACCTTCCGCTGACTGATGACAAGAAACGGTGTGAGCGGAAATTCCTTGAATCAAATGAATCTGCACAGGCATGTTCCTAACTAAGCGTGAGTGGTAAAGATCCTTCAGCTTGGAGACACACACACACACACACCAAAGGTGGTCACGGGCAAGATTTCCCACTTTCAGCCGTACGAACAGATCGGGGATTTGGACCACGGCGAAGCCCTCAGATTCACAGGCATCCAAGTTTGGGCAGCGATCTTGTACGCCAGAGGAAGTTTCGTGAATCCAGAGTGCAAGCAGGCTTCCTCCACGAAAGGCTGAACTCCAAATCCTTCAGTGACGCCCTTCTCACATCATGAGATTGAATTTAAGCTTTTGCAGGCCCCACCAGTCGAAGCAGATTCTAGATGCATTCGGGCACTCCAAACGCTAAACTAAGCTAGTCCTGGGAAAAAGCATGAGGCAAGCAAGGACAACTCACAGCAACCAGCCGAAAGCGCAGTCACTACAACTGAGGTTTGGCAGGAAGCGGGCAGCCAACCCGCGACCGGAACTCGGACGGACGTGCAGCGCTTCGTCGTCCCACTTTCTGCAACCATGCTTACTTCGAGACAAGCCCTCACACTTCTTTATCGGCGGTTGGGGAAATGAGGGAGCTGCTCTTGCATGTGTTCAGACACTCCCGTAGCCTCATAGTCGTGTGCTTTACCCTGAATCCAAGCCACGCTCAACCCACGAAGCACTCGCAAAGGCTGGCGGAAGCCGTGGAGCCTACTGCCGCGTCCAGCAGGCTGGATCTGCTAATGGCACTACAGAACGGTCATCGAATGCTTGTTACTACTTAAATGCAACCTTGATCCGAAGATGCGATAACATAAACTCGAAGATCACCGTTCCGTGACTCACAGCTAAACAGGGGTGAAGGGCCGCAGGTCGGCGGACACTTTGCAAGTACTTTCTACTCCAACTAAGGGTAGTAGCAGCGGTGCCGTCGGAATCGGCATCCCGCCGTCAAAACAGTATCAACCCCATTGTCAGTGTAAATGATTTTGGGAAGGGCAAGCATGGTCGCATGCGGGCAAGGTAGTACTCCTTTCACTTATTAGTATGGCAGGCGGCAGGAGTGAATGCAGCCCAAAAGTAGGAAGCACCCGTGAATAGCAGTAGGGAAAGGAAGGACGCTGCAATCAACAGGCAATGCTGGATTTTAGCACAGTAGTTTATATCAAGACATCGCAGTAAGGGAGTTATGTTGCAAAATACACAATCCTTCCCCATCGATTACAGAGCAACCATTTGGTCAAACCTTCGTTGAGCTATGGTTTCCCCCTCTGTTCCGATCGCCACAAATCCTTTCGACAAGCAACTGTACCAGCCTGAAGGCCATGCTTTGAGGAAAGAGGCCGTGATCTTTGAAAAGCCTAACTGAGGACCCTAAAACCCTAAACCCTCCAAGCCGTGAGCGCAGGATGCGCCGGAAAGCTTGCAGCCAAGGCAGGCTGCCTCAGTTTGAAGTTCAGGGTCAAATAGCCAGGTGTCGTGGTAAGGTTTCGGGGGTTTGCAGATTTTGCACATGGCCTTTGCGATTTCGGTGGACCACCGTTGTTGGACATGTTTCCTTGATTGCGGCTATTTCTCGTGAACCTCCGGGAAGCCCATTCAGCGATGCCTCAAAAGATGCGGGGATCTCCGCTTACAGGACATCGAAGCTGCTACCAGTAGCTGCTACAGCCAGAATCCCACCAACCATAGAATCGAAGCGTGCATCGATGACTACATGCGTTGTTCTGCTCTGGCCTACTCCTGGAACTGTTAGTGTTGTACTGTTGTGATGGTTTAACATTCAATATTGATGCACTGATCATCAGCATTCTCAGTGCTGTTGAATATCGCTGATACAACACTGCCGCCACGACTTCGACTTCCACGATGACGACGGCTCCTGCTGCTGCTGCTGCTGC